CCCCATTTTGTCTCTCATAGTTGAGGTATACCTATGATGAAAATTACAGGCCTCTCTCATCTTTTTAAGTGGGAGAACTTGCACAATTGGTGGCTGACTAAATACTTTTTTGTCCTACTGTATGTACCAAACAAGTACTATGATTTCATTAATGTATTTTACTATTACTGTACTTCTAAATAATTATAACAATTATTAATGACTCACATAAACCTTAAGTATTAATGATCTGAATTAACCCAAGACAGCTCAGGACATTAGGTTTCCCATTAAAAATGACAGTGATTCAATTTATTGACTTCTTATAAGAACTGCCTTCAGTTAACAAGATGCAACAACATTAATACCACAATATTGAAGCATATATTTTTATGGCACCAGTACTAGTTTTTCTGGAACTGTATCTTGTTTATAGCATAAAGTAAGATAATCCCATGGCAAATATACCCCTCTTCTTCACTAGCTGTCTCTACTTCAAAATTCAACAAGAAAAAAATATATATATAAGTTGTCAGTGCCATCCTAGAGAGATTATCAAAAGGAATAGAGAAAGTCCAATTTTATGGACAGAAGAAAACAATAGTTAATTCATAGAATAATTACAGAAGAACCTCAAGTACTTAGGGGATGATGCTGAAAAGTCTTCTAGACCTGCTTTTGAAAACTCTGGAGAGCATCCAAATAGCTTTTGCTGTTCAGATAGCATTCAGAAGAGGTGATTCAGAAGATGCTCCCTCATTCCTGATTTAAACAATCTTACTTAGAACTATAATACCACACCCTAAACAACATTAAAGAACTATTCAGATTTGCAGATATTGCTCAGACCAGCTGACATATACTCAATCTTATGTATGTTTTCATGCCCAATCTCAGTTAGTATAGAGATCCATTAAATTTCCCTGCAGATTAAATACAATAAAAGCTTTTTCCTTATAAAATAAATGTTTCCACGTGCAGGAACATTCCAAATACTTACATTTATGCTAGGCAGGCTATCTATGCACAGGTAATTCCCCAGACTGGAAACAACTGACTAGGGCAGAGAGTTATGGTACATGCGTGCATCCTTATAAAGGATGAAAGAACATGAAGCCTTATATATGACAGAATAAGACATATAACCTGGCCTATGGGTTTCAAAAATGAAAAGATGGAAGAGGGCTAGTGAGCCATCAAACTTCAGCAAATCAGCTTTGTGTTTGCAAGGTGTGGTTCACAAAGTATATTTTGTTATCTAAGTTTCCCAATATACTGGTTGACTTTAAAATTCTTAAAATTCTTTTTGGCAAACTGTCTTTGAACAAAAGGAAGAGCAAAGCACATTTCCAGTGGAAACTTAAGAGCTTCCATAGCATTACAGGTATTGGGAACAGACTTAAAGACAGCAAGGGACAAGTCACTTGCCTGCAAGTGTGAAAGCCCAAGTCTGCTTAGAAGCTCCTTCTACTGCACACATTTTGCTAACAAATACCCAAATCAAATTACGATTTATTTAACAGAGTAAACCCTTGAATAATGGAAGGAAAAGGTGTATATTAATACAGAATTTTGTTAAATAATTTTGTTAAATAAGAATATAAAGTCTGCTAGACTGAGGGTTTACTACGTTTCTCTTTCTGCTGTTGCACTATTATCCCCATTTTTCCATGCTGTTTATGAAAATACAATAGTTAAAAATGGCTAAGCTGTCATTTTATTCTTTTTCTTTGTCCAAGTTCTTTCATCAGAAAATACTTTTGATCTGCTTTACAGAAATATTTGGACTAGCAATTATTTATAACATACATTGACGTGGTATACAAGAACAATTAAATCATAATAAAATAGAAAACAAAAACAATCATATAAATAAAAATTCCAGGAAATCAAAGTTATACTAGGATTTAAAAATATTTTAAATGCACCCTTAATGCTTATTTTCTCTACTGTTGAGTGTGTGCATGCATGCATATATGAGCCTCTCAGTGAAATAGAAAGCATTTACTTTCCCAACTTTTTCCCCATTCACTTGTTAAGCATTCCATCACTAGGTCCCTCCTTGGCAAGGGGGATGTGGGGGTTCATTTGCAGGGC